CTTTCTGGGTCCACTGGTGGAACCTCTTCTAACCGGTTCGGTAGATTTGACGAACCGGTTCTACCGAATAGGTGCGAACTGGTAGGAACCCAACTCTGTGCTAGTGTTATGGACCCAGATCAGTTTCTTCTTCTTTAGCTTAACTTGGAACTTGCACGTGATCAGTTCTGATCTGTTCCACAGTTAGCACCTGGCCGTATCTTTACTGCCTTAATTGAACACCTCCACCTCCTTTTAGAATAATATAGTCAGTTTGGTTTCTTTATATTCCATCTGGTGATGCCCAGGGCCATCTTTATAGTCCTTCTCCTTTTAAGAGCCATGATCATTGCCAGCCATTGCCAGCTTTTGAGGCCAATTTATTTCCTTTAACCGACATCAGCAAAGCACCAATTCAGAGTGTTTTCCATTTGTTGCATTTTCTGAAGGTCACCTCATCTGCGTGCATTTAATTTTACTTTCTGTTCTCTTAAAACTCGTTTTAATAATGGGTTTTGGAAACCGTAATGCAAAATCTTTATGATTTTTAGGAGAGGCCCTTGGACATACTTCTTTTGATGAATCAAGCCTCAAGTAAAGACCGAAATTAAGAAAACGGGAGGAGCGAAAGGAACTTTCCAGTTATAAGCAATTAGCTCTAGTTAATGTTCACATGCTGTGCATGGAATTCCAATGGCTCCCGTTTCTTCACTGGAACAGCCATATCAGTAGTACACCTGCCCAAGGCAGGACAGACATCCAATTTGCATTGACTTGGCTTTCTTGATAACCCCAAAATCAACCCAATGGTCAATTGGTACACTAAGCATTGAAGTCTGTTTTCAGCCAGTTCACAAAAAACCAGAAAATTTAACAATTGGCTCTAGAAAATTAGAACAAGTCAGCTGCAGCACATCACTGGTTGTACTGCAAGTCCCAGGAATGGCTAGGAGAGACAACTATCGGGAGACTTATTATGCATTCAGTTAATGATCCAGGAGACATTTTCTGCCTCCATTATGTCCCTAATATACTAACTCCTCATAGAATTGGTCAATTTTCTCCCTTCCCCATCATTACACATTTTGTCATTAATTTATCCAGTGCTACAAGGCTTTTTTTTGTTTCGTGTGCTTAGACCAAAAGCAAAAAACAAACAAACAATGTAATATGCAGAATGACAAGGATACCGCCCTTCCTCTGATCCTCAATATTCTTTTCCAGAAACTCTAGGCAATGCTCATGAAATATTTCTAAGGGTGGGGTGGGGGGGTAGCTGCATCCCAGTGTGAGCTTCCTCAAAGCCAGGATGTGAAGAACGAGGTCAGTTCCCTTAATGGTTAATAGACAACTACTGCGTTTTTAGGAGTTGACGTTATATTGCAAAGAGTATGAGATGAGGGCAGCTGGGAGTGGGTAGAGTAGGCTGCACAAAGGTGTGTTTGTGTGTGTGTGTGTGTGAGACAGAGAGAGACAGAGAGACAGAGAGAGACAGAGAGAGAATGAGAGACAGAGAGACAGAGAGAGACAGAGAGAGAGAGAGAGAGAGAGAGAGAGAGAGAGAGAGAGAG